ATCCACAGGAGTTCGTCGAGACGTCGGTGCGTCTGGGTTAGTGTTCTTTAGGTGTTGTGTGCAAGAGTACGGCTCGACTCCGTCTGTCGACCCACTCTGAGCCCTCCAGTGGGGTTCCGATGTCTTAGTGGCAACTCCCACCTTCCCCCGCGTAGAAGATTTTTCGGAGTCCAGATATGAATCGTGAATCGACTCTTGATCATCAAATCCGTCTAGACGACGCGAATGGCCGCAATTTTTGGGCTTAAGGTTCTCGTTTTCTGTTTTGTTGGATCTTTGTGCTAATGGGAAGGGCTCTTGTGCCGACTCGGGTGGTCATGCGTTGGGTCTGTTAGGTATAAGGGAGGTCTTAATTTATTTGTACATTAGGTGTACGTTTTTCTTTATTTTTCATTTTGATAGTCCAACTTTGTCTATCTTTAATCTCCTTTTATGGAACTTAAGTCTCTTTTACGGAGTTTCATATTATTTTGCCATTAGCTCCTTAATGGAGTTGAACCTCTTGAATTCATCTAAAATTTCACGGGATATGTTCAAGTTATTTGGATCGTCGGTGTCAATTGACATATCCTCTATAATGTTTTTGAGTTTTCCAGTTATTAGGAGCATGCTTGAATTCATCTAAATATTTTACTTTAGTAATAACTTTTATCCTATATTTTTTAACTCAACACACATGCAGTACACGTATATTTTACTAGTTACTACTCCCTCCTATTCATTATAAATGTCGTTTTGACTTTTTTGATTCATCCATTTTGTTATGTATCCAGACATATTAATGTCTAGATATATAATAAAATGGATGAATCACAAAAGTCAAAACGACATTTATAATGAACAGGAGGTAGTGGTTGAAACTTCCCCACACAAACCCAACCTACCTCTCACTTACCTCAGTTTGTTTACTTTTTCTTTCCACTTCCCATAGTTTTTTGGATCATGCTACATGTACCCCTTGGTTTACCACTTGGTTTACATCCAAGTGGTACATGTACTCACTTACCCTTAATGAACAATTTAGTAAATTATTCATTAAGGGTAAATAGGTACATGTACCCCTTGGATGTAAACCAAGTGGTACACCAAGGGGTACAAGTAGCATTATTCTAGTTTTTTTTCTTCAAACAAAAAAAACAAAAAAAAAAAAAGAGTAAAATTTTTAATCAAAAAATGAGACCAAAGATTTATCTGTTTGGAGATTCGATAACTGAGGAGTCGTTCAGCTATGGCGGATGGGGCGCTTCACTGACCGATCACTTTGCTCGCACGGTATTCTTAACCAAATATTGCGTTTTTAATTTATCGCCATGCTAATCTTCGTCATGCTAATCTTCTTTGTATCGTTCCAATTTTATCGGATGTCCCCGAAGGGACAGTTTTAGATTTCAATCTAATATTCAAAAATTTGCAGGCTGATGTAGTTTTGAGAGGGTACAGTGGATACAACACAAGATGGGCTTTGAAGATAATAGAAAGCGTGTTTCCGTTCAGCGAGATCGGAAGAGATCAACCGGCGGCGATTACCGTATTTTTCGGTGCGAATGATGCTTGTTTACCCGATAGATCTAGCAAGTTTCAACATGTGCCGCTGGAAGAGTACAAGCACAATCTCCAAGCTCTTGTCGCATACTTCAAGGTACAACAGTTTGTAGCGTTATCATTTGTCACTCCTCATCTGTTCACGATTCACACATGTCTAGGAATTATATACTATCAGTTATTTGTTGATTAAATAGAAATGAGTTAGCTATACATTTTGTCATTTATTTAATTTCTAAAATCATAAAAAGTAGCTATATTTCTAATTTAATTGGTTTTTTTTTTTTATTCACCTTGTTTATTGAGCGGTGGATATTCATTAAATCTCCAATTTAACACATTAATTTAGTTGGGTAAGTCCTCAAGATTAGGGTTGTAAACGAGCTGAGTCGAGCATTGGCGTTATCAAGCAGAATTGAATTTTTTGTAGCTGCTCGAGCTCGATAAGTAGTGTTTGTACAACTAAATAAAAACGTAATGATAAAATACTTTAACATATGGCAAGTGTCCAGTTAAAACATTAAAAAAAAAATTACCACAAGCTCGTCACGTAGCCGAACAGCAAAAGTCCGAACCTGACCTTATGCGGCAAAATAGTCCAAAATTCCGGTCTGTTTTTGCCATTTTTTATGACGAACGAAATGACATCGGGTAATCTAGCTAGTTAGGAGTTGAACGTTCCCCTTAGGAAATGGCTAAAAACGATATTTACGAAAATAATGACTGAAAAATATGTCAAAAATTTACATCAATCGTTGCGCTAACATACGCTCTGTTGATGATTTCAGAAGCAATGGCCATCGACTCACATTATCCTCATCACACCACCTCCGATTGACGAGCAAGCACGCATCCTGTAAAATTGTCGCTCTTCCTATTGCTATTCTTCAATTTTCTTTTTTTTTCTAACTACCTATATGATTCAAATATATACATATATATATATATATATATATATGGACAATTATTTTAGAAGAATGTTTTTCTTTCAGGTACCCTTATCCCGGCAATGTGCCCGGGATTCCCGAGAGGACCAATGAGTTTGCTGGCGCGTACGCCAAACAATGCCTTGCTGTTGAGGCTGAATGTGGCGTTTCTTCTATTGATCTGTGGGGGAAAATGCAGGAGTTTCCTGGTTGGCAAACGGCTTATTTGAGGTACTTTTTTTTTTCGTGTACCTTATTCTGAATTTTTCATCTGGTACTTAATGTGCTTTTACAAGTGTAGTTATCGATTTGTAGCCGAAGAAGCTAAAAGTATCATGAGGAACCAAAAATTAGTCGTGCTTTCGCAAATGCTAGTTTGTTTGCAACATTAAGCAAATCTAATGCAGGGATGGATTTGATGTACTTAATGCGGCTTTTGATAACACTGTCATTTGAAAATTCAGGGATGGATTGCATCTCACTCAAGATGGCAATAAGGTTGTGTTCGAGGAAGTGATTGCACGGCTGAGGGAGAAACAAATAAGACCCGATACTTTACCATCCGATCTCCCACTCCTAGACGAAATCGATCCAAACGACCCCCTAAAGTCTTTTGAGTAGTAGCTCGACAATGTCAACCTTTTTTCCGGTGCTTATGTTTGTAGTTCCTCTAAAAAACCTTTGTGCTGTATGAACTTTATGTTGTACTAGATGTTAGACTGTATCTGTGTCTTACTAGTTATGTTGCTACTGAACCTTTTTCTGCTATGAATGGATGGATTTAATAATGTTTGTGAATATGAACTTTTTGTGAGCTTAGATTTGGAAAAAGAATTTCTGTTCCAAAATCATGTTTCAATTCATGTATAATTTTCTTTGTGACTCATCTACAATAGTAACATTATCATGGACATGTGTCATTTATTTATTTTAAATGTGAGATCTATATACTACTTTAAAAGGAGAAGTGTTTTTGTAAAAATTCATAATACCTAAGGGTGTGATTGTATATGGTTTCTACAGTAAATGTTCTACTTAAAACTCAAATTTAACTCAATTTTAACTCAACTCCACTATCTTCAATATTATTAATATAATTAAATAATATCAACCAATCATTATTACACAACATCAATTTTAATTCACTATTCATCCACTCACATAATTTTAACTAACAAGCACTTCCAATCATTTTCTTCTACTTTTACATCAAATCAACTTTAATTATTTTAATTTAAATATTATTTTAATATATCCATTAACAACTAACCATGCTATTTTTTTTCAAACTTAACTATAGTTAAAAAAACTAGTATTTTTTTAGTTGAATTTATATCCAATCACCCCCTAAAAAACCCATACTACTTTAAAAGGAGCGTTTTTGTAAAAATTCATAATGTCTAAAAAACCCTTACTTTGATATAAATTTAATGGCAAATTAGTAATAATCTAATACATATCATATTTTATTTATATTTTTAATTAAAAAATGAACTCCCTAAAAATCATTACTTTCACATGTTTTTAATGGCAAATTTGTAATATACTAATGCCATCATATCTTGTATCTTCTCTATATATAATTAAAAAAAAAACATAACTTTAAACAAAAATAATATAATTAATATAACTAAATATAAACCTTCTAAAAATATACTTATCGATGTAATCGAACTGAGTTGTTAAACGCTTGTTAGTTTTTTGTTCTTATTAATTTTATGTGTAAATTTGAGGTGATAGACAACAGTTATTTGTACATTTATACATGTAGATTAGAAAAAAAAAATCCTTATTATTCTAATTTTAAATAACTTTTTTATTTACTATATTAGTTTTTTTAATATAATATATAAGTATCATATTGAACAGATAAAACAAGAAATATTTTAATTATATAACATTTAATATGTAAGAAATGTAACTCAATTGGTAAATTAATAGGTAATCTTGGGATAAAATAATGAGTGATTTCTGAAAAAAAAAAAATATAGGAACTAAAAAGTTCACGTGTTTAATATATTTTTAATAGAAAAATTGTAAACACAATTACTCAATAAATACTACATAAAAAATATAAGAAATCTTATATCCTCCCTATATATAATTAAAAAACATAACTTTTCTCAATTCAACATAAGCAAATCAATGAAAATAATATATTTTTAAAAATTTTATGAACAAAAGTTGACTCGACAATATTATTAATGAATTATGAATTGTAAATATTTAATTAAATTATTAATTAATAAATTGTAATTAAATATAATATAATATACGATATACAAATATTTGATATATAATGAGGCAGATGATCAAAAAAATTCTATACTTTATATTATGTGTTTTTTGACAAATCTACAGTTAAGAAATATGTGAAAGAACAAGATAAAGTTTTTAAAAAATATTAAATATAAGAAATAATATGAAAATAACTAAGTTGTGACACGTACTAATAAATATAAAACAAACTAATAAACAAAAATAATATAATTAATATAACAAAATATAAACCTTCTAAAAATATACTTATCGATGTAATCGAACTCAGTTGTTAAATGCTTGTTAGTTTTTTGTTTTTATCAATTTTATGTGTAAATTTGAGGTGATAGACAATAGTTATTTGTGCATTTATACATATGTATTAGAAAAAAATCTTTATTATTCTAATTTTAAATAACTTTTTTATTTACTATATTAGTTTTCTTAATATAATATATAAGTATCATATTGAACAGATAAAACAAGAAATATTTTAATTATATAATATTTAATATGTAAGAATTGTAACTCAATTGGTAAATTAATAGGTAATCTTGGGATAAAATAACGAGTGATTTATGAAAAAAAATTATAGGAATTATAAAGTTCACGTGTTTAATATACTTTTAATAGAAAAATTATAAACACAATTACTCAATGAATACTACATAAAAAATATAAGAAATCTTATATCCTCCCTATATGTAATTAAAAAAACATAAATTTTCTCAATTCAACATAAGCAAATCAATGAAAATAATATATTTTTAAAAATTTTATGAACAAAAGTTGACTCAACAATATTATTAATGAATTTATGAATTGTAAATATTTAATTAAAATATTAATAAAAAATTGTAATTAAATATAATATAATATAGGATATACAAATATTTGATATATAATGAGGCAGATGATCGAAAAAATTCTATTCTTTATATTATGTCTTTTTTGACCAATCTACAGTTAAGAACATGCGAAAGAACAAGATAAAGTTTTAAAAAAACATTAAATATAATAAATAATATGAATAATAACTAAGTTGTGACACGTACTAATAAATATAAAACAAACTAATAAACAAAAATAAAATAATTAATATAACTAAATATAAACGTTCTAAAAATATACTTATCGATGTAATCGAACTAAATTGTTAAACGCTTGTTAGTTTTTTGTTCTTATTAATTTTATGTGTAAATTTGAGGTGATAGACAATAGTTATTTGTACATTTATACATGTAGATTAAAAAAAAAATCTTTATTATTCTAATTTTAAATAACTTTTTTATTTACTATAATAGTTTTCTTAATATAATATATAAGTATCATATTGAACAGATAAAACAAGAAATATTTTAATTATATAATATTTCATATGTAAGAAATGTAACTCAATTGGTAAATTAATAGGTAATCTTGGGATAAAATAATGAGTGATTTCTGAAGAAAAAAAAATGGAACTAAAAAGTTCACGTTTTTAAAATATTTTTAATAGAAAAATTGTAAACACAATTACTCAATAAATACTGCATAAAAAATATAAGAAATCTTATATCCTCCCTATATGTAATTAAAAAAACATAACTTTTCTCAATTCAACATAAGCAAATCAATGAAAATAATATATTTTTAAAAATTTTATGACCAAAAGTTGACTCGGAAATATTATTAATAAATTTATGAATTGTAAAAATTTAATTAAAATATTAATAAAAAATTGTAATTAAATATAATATAATATAGGATATACAAATATTTGATATATAATGAGGCAGAGATCGAAAAAAACTCTATTCTTTATATTATGTCTTTTTGACAAATCTACAGTTAAGAACATGTAAAAGAACAAGATAAAGTTTTAAAAAAATATTAAATATAATAAATAATATGAATAATAACTAAGTTGTGACACGTACTAATAAATATAAAACAAACTTATAAACAAAAATAATATAATTAATATAACTAAATATAAACCTTCTAAAAATAACTTATCGATGTAATCGAACTGAATTGTTAAACGCTTGTTAGTTTTTGTTCTTATTAATTTTATGTGTAAATTTGAGGTGATAGACAATAGTTATTTGTACATTTATACATGTAGATTAGAAAAAAAAAATCTTTATTATTCTAATTTTAAATAACTTTTTTATATACTATAATAGTTTTTTTAATATAATATATAAGTATGATATTGAACAGATAAAACAAGAAATATTTTAATTATATAATATTTAATATGTAAGAAATGTAACTCAATTGGTAAATTAATAGGTAATCTTGAGATAAAATAATGAGTGATTTCTGGAAAAAAATAAAAAAATAAAAAAATTATAGGAACTAAAAAGTTCACGTGTTTAATATATTTTTAATACAAAAATTGTAAACACAATTACTCAATAAATACTACATAAAAAATAATGTTTGAAAGGACTACAAAAATTTTTCTATACTGCAATTAAAAATTCAACGGTAAGGTATTCTACTGAAAATTTCAACGAATATGTTGTTTTCATTGGCTATTCCAATAGAGTTCAAATTAAATTACATGAACTTTAGTGGATGTAAAGATTTCAATTACCTAAATTTCTATTGGAATGTATTTTTTGGACCCTATTTCAATCGTTGAAAAAATTGTCATTCGTATTATGCAAAAATTCAATAGAAGTTCCATTGGAAAGATAATTGCAGTGATAGATCCAAAATAATTTCATATTGGGAGCATTATTTAGTTAATAGAAAAAAATATACCATCAAAATAACATGTCATTGCAATTTATAAATTATTCTTTACATAATCTATCACCTTTCTCATTTGTAATACATTTTAATAAATCTATGCAATCACAATAAGGTAAAATATATTTAAGAAACCAAAAGTCAAGATTTTTCTAAAATCAACATAAGAAAATCGTTGTATTTGTTGAAATTTTTGTTGGAATTTTCTCATTTTCTTGCAGTAAAATTAAGACTCCAAATTCATACAAAAAAATGCATTATATATAATATTGTGTGCAACTATTATTATGAAAAAATTTTATACAATAGAAAATATAACACATTCAATGTAATTGGCGTTCAATTTATGATAAGAATTAATTTTTTTCAAAGCAAACAAGATACTTTGAAAGGTCCTTAATTATTTCATTAGTATTGTAATAACTAAATAAGGGGTAAGAAAGATGACAAAACTTATAACTCTCATTAAATCCAAAAGTAAAAATGCTGATAAATTACTTAATGTACAATATCAATTGGAGTTGGCTAATGATAAATATAAAACATACTTAAAATATACATATATTTTAACTATAACTTTTAAGTACATAATATATATACACACACACACACACACACACACACACACACACACACATATATATATATATATATATTCATATGTATATTCCTTTAAGAGTGGGTATGTTAATCTTAAAATTTTTTAGTTAAGATTTTTATTACTTTCTATCATTAAATTTTTTAATTTTCAAATACTTCATATTTTTTATTTGTTACCTTTTTATATGTAATATATCACATCATTTATTTTCAATGATGTTTGAGTTCACCCATATATTGCAATAAAATAAAAATAATATAATTATTTATATTGATATAAAATAATATATATATATATATCAATACAAATTTAAAATAATAATTTAGTCTTAAATTATATAATATAATAACTTTTATATTCAAGTTAAATCAATTTTATTAAGTATAAAATAACATAAGATAAACTTGTGGTATGTGTTCCATACATAAATTTGAAACAATTCATATTAAAAAAAAAAGTAAAAAATTGGTGTAAACTTCTAACTATTCTCACGTTTTGGCTAGAGCGCTCAAATCCGATTTATGTTTGACACGAGTTTGTCGTAATGTTGAAACTATGGCAAATGCACCTTAGGGTACAAATGAAGCGAAGCAATGTGAAGTCATAGATAAAAGGAAAGGCTAGGCCAGAGAAAGGAAATGAAATAACATTAGCCATGTGAAGTCAATTACTGCTGCAAAATGAACCCTACAATGGTGGTACCATATATGTATTCAGTGATTATGAAAATGATTTAGTTAATTAATATTTTATCAAACATTGGAAAAAATTCTAAAACTTTTTAATCTAATAATTCGTATAAAAAGTACAATTTTATCAAATATATTAAATTACATTTAATCTTATGTGATTATATTAATTGTAGCCTAATAAATAAGATAATTTGATACCATCATTATATAAAACACATACAAAGAATAACATAATACGTATAAATGTGCTTTAGTTACTTAGCAAATAAAATATTATTTGTCTATAGAATAAGAAACAAATAATATAATAGCAATGCAATGAGAAAAAGAAAAATGCTAATTTTCTTAGAATAGTATGAATACCAACATTTACAAACAAAAAGTCTTTTAAAATTACTACTTTTTTGTTGCTAGCGTTTAAATATATGGACTCTGTAAGAAATTGGTTCTCATAAATAATGACCATATATTATTTATTTTCAATTTTAAATAATTAAAAAATCTAAAAATTTGTATACATGATATATATTTTAATCATGACTTCATAATAATAAAATTTACAAATGACTAAAAGTATCGTCATATAATGGAATTCTAATTCTTCTGTTGTCAAATATTTTAACAAATGATATGCTTCTCAATATTTTCTCATTGTTTTGTTTTATCATTGCAAAAAATAGATTATATTGTTCGTCTATATTCTAGATAAATAACACTGAAAATGAAATGTAGGAGTATCAAAACAGTTTTGAATGTTAGAATTAAGTTGTCACTTTTTATAGAAATATTTATAATCTCATTGGTGTATTGTGCTTGAACATATGTGCAATTACTTTAGAGGTACTTTCAGGTAATGTATGATGATTTCAAAAATAATTTAGAATCTCGGGAGAAGTACATGTAACCAAAATTTTGGAAAGTCAACTTTTATTTGGAGATAAAATTCATTCCCACCTTGTGGGGCGATGCATCAATAGGGTAGACACCAATATATCTAGAGATAGAGGAATGTAGTAGTTTATACAGTGATAAAAAATATCAGCAATTTTAGTGACACCGTTAGTTATTTCATAGAGATATTTATCCTTTGTTAGTAGAAGTACCTTGTTATAAAGATCATACTATCATGAAGTTTGACTATATGTTAGGTCAGAATGTTTCTTAAGTGTTTGAATAAAATAGGCGTTTTGCCAAATTAATTAAGAGGAATTTTGCAATAGTATTGATGTATTGGACTCCAACGACTATGAATGTTCTTATGAGAACGTTAAAACTAAAATGAAAGAAAATCTTTGTGTTTTTTTTTATTAGGAATTTATTTTTTTATATATATATTTTTGTTGGGATTTGTAAAACGTTATTTCACGATTTTTATATGAGGACATCATTATGTTAATTCTAAATAAAAATGAATCACATATGAGTTCATTTTTCTATATTTTACTTCATTTATGCAATGATATGTTTAATAAATAAATTAATTTATTCGACACCACGTGCATCGCACGTGCACTTTACTAATACTTAAAAAAAGATAAGGCTGTGTTTGTATATAAATATATATCCGTTTAAAATGAGTTTTTTTTAATCATAGATAATTTGAAAAAAAAAAAAAAATTAATATGGTTAGTTGTGAGTGTTGATTTTATATTTAAATAATAATTTAAAAATAAATTGATTGATGTAAAAAATAGAAAAGAGATGATGTGAAGTGATCACAAATTCTATTGAGCCATCGGATGGCACGGCTTGTGGAGCCATCATAGTTATTCACAAATGATGTAGTGACACGTGTCCAATGTTTATTTATTGCAGGACACGCGTCAATACACCATTCGTGAATAACTATGGATGGCTCCATAAGCCGCACAATCTGATGGCTCCACAGCAAAACCGGTGAAGTGATAGTGAAAATTATGTGAGTGGGTGAATAGTAAATTGAAGTTGATGTGATGTGTAAAATGATTGGTTGATAATATTTAATTATATTGATAATATTGAAGATAGTGGAATTGAGTTAAATTTTGAATATAAATTTCCATTGAAAAAAAAAAATGTTCGTCAGATCATGTTCGTGTCTAATGTAACATTCGGATCCATAAAAAAATTCAGGAGTGATTCATATTAAATAATCGAAAATCATTACTAGATAGCAAAAGTGTACATTGAGTAAATTAATGGAACTGATCACCATGAATATTACATCGGACAGAAACACGATATGGATGGCGAACACGTAATCGATCATAAACGGGGTCTGCGGTCTTCTTCAACTAAAAATCAATCTTAATGCCTCTTCATTTTAATTCTTGATGGAGGAGAATAAAAAACTATATGCGATTTAATATATTAAGGATCATAACCAATAGAGTATCATAACCAATAGGGTCTTTATATATTACTCACGTAGGCCACTCATAATCACCTAACCTAATAGTATTAGGTACGTACTCAATAATCCTCCCTGTATATAATTTCAGAATGCGCTGAGCCTACGTGGCTGCTTCTGGTGCTTCGAAATCTTATTTGGCGAAGAATCATGCTTCGTAATTAGGCTTGGATGAATAATATTGATATATTAATAATTAATCATCTAGGTTCGGGTATTCCATAAATATTATTTAGCTAACTTAGGTATTTTAATATCACTTTTACTAATATAACCCTTTAATTTTTTTGTATTTTACATAGTGAGGCAATAAGTGACTAATATATCCCTGAATTTTGATTTGTTTCCTTCAATAAGCTATTGAATTATAAATGTATTTTAAAAGTTGATAACTTTTGTATTTTTTATCAGTTTTACATATACAATATATTAAATTAATTATCTTTCGATGATCTTCGATTTGACATCCATATTGTATATATGAAATAAATAAATTATATTTATCTTTATAATAATAAAAAATAATAATATTTATTAAAATTCATTAGAAAAATAAAATTATTTCTCAATTGATATATGTATATGTAATGTAGTTATATATTGTAAGTTAAAAAAATTAGTATAATATAACATAAGTAAGTCGCACAAATAAAAAGTGTCACAATAAATATATAATAATATATATATTCTTATAAAAGATATTTAAATTTTCAAACTACTTTTTTCTTATTAATTTTAGATTTTAAGAAAAAAATTAGCAAACACCCGTGTAATACACGGGTGTGGTACTAGTTTCATATTAATTATGTAGTCTATGAACTTTTACCTTATTTTGATCAATTAATTTAATTCATAAAGTAATTGAATAACTAATATAATTGTACATAACATGTTGCCTATAATTAACTTATACATAGAAAATAAAATTTTCTACCAAAAAACGCTCTCAATTAATTTATGACGTTGTACAAAAATCTGATTTGGAATTTATGAACGAATATAAAATCAAGTGATTTCGTTTTTAAATGAATTCGATTTGATTTTTGAATTGATTCAAAATTCTTCGAATCTCATGTTCAACCCTCTCGACATCCAAAAACAGAAACAAGCCAAAAAAACAGCAAATCAAAACCACTTAATTCGAACTATCTGAAATGCTTCCTCAGAGTCTCGGCAGCTGGACTCGAACGCCTCGAATTCAAAGTGCAGACCCTTTTGCGTCGATTGCTCGCCTGATAGGCCAAACACGCCCGCATCGAAAGAGAAGACGTGTCGGGTCCTGATCGGCCGTCCTCCGACGACGGCGCGAGTTCCGGGCGGAGCATATTGGTGATGTCCTCGAGCGGCGTTCTCGACTTCCTCTTCTTACTGGAAAGAACCGCAGGATTAGGCACAGCAGGATGTAGTGATAGAGAATCGACCGGGATGTTCTCCTTGTCGCAGTTGTTGTCGAGGAGAGAAAAGACCGCCATTGATGATGGATGGAGAGGAGATAGAAAGAGACTGGTAGAGATGCGTTCTGAGGAGGAAAATGGAGACGAGGTATAAGTAGAGAGAGGATGAGAAATGGAGGTGGGAAATTGTTTTCGCCATTTTTGGAGGGATGAATTTCTGAATTTGGATTTGAGAATTTTATTTGAATTGGAACAATTTAAGTATTTGTGTTTGGGGTTTTGGTGAAATTGGGAGGGAGAACAAATTCTCCAATTTTGTGTGAGCCGCGTTTGTTTCAATAAGAAAATGGTAACAGTCAATGGGTTTTTCAAAAAAAATTCTTTCATTTTTTCTCTCTAGCCGAGCCGAGTCGAACATTGGTCTTATCGAGAGAAGGATTGAGTTTTTTTTTAACTGCTCGAGCTCGACTCAATAAAAAATCACAATAGCTCGAACTCGGCTCGAAGTCTCGAACTCGACTCGAAATCAAAATGCTCGAGTTCGCCTCGAAAAATTTTAAGTGAAAATGTAAAATTACGATTAAGTACATATGCTAATATATAAAATAAGGAGTATTTTAGTAATTTAACGTGTATCTCAAACCGCCCTATTGATTGCAGCTTTCTCCAGACCTCCGGCAAAAGCATGAAAAAAAACGGCTCGAATGGTACGATCCCTCCGTCACCCCAGAATGCAGGGCAGTTGATAGTCAAGGCCGTGTAATTAATACTTGGGCTGATATCATTAATCGCGCTAACCTTGGTATTCCAAGATACCAACAAATACACTGACCGCGCGTCGCAACGCGGCAAAATTAATATTTATATTTTCCTTATCTAACCTCTACTAACTAGTAGTAGTGGCGAGTAAGGGTCGAACCCACGAGGAGTGTGAACCAAATTGTGATATTCTTGTATTAATTGAATTTATTATGAAAGCAATAAAAGGGGGGATTTTGAATTAATAACTAATCTATCTAAGAATGAAATCAAAGCAATGAAAATAAAAATAAAATAAAATAAATAAGAGAAATTTCTAGTTCACGGTT